TATATATAAAAATATATAAAATAAAATATATAAATATAAATATAAAGATATATAAAAATATATCTTTTTATCATTGTTGTCCTACCTGCTGCAGTTTCTGTGTTCTGTGCACATTACTTTATTTTTAATCCAATTTAATTAAGTGAACTGTTTTTCAAGTGTTAAGCATATCATAGGCTCCTAGTTTAGATTCAGAGGTCTAGTTGGTGGAATCCTTTCTTAAAATCTCAGCTTAGTTGCCAGATACAGGTCTCTTGATGACAAAGTTTTTACATCTTTCTGAGACTTTGGACTGGAACAGCAACATGATTTTTATCAATTACTCCTTTTTCCAGATTGATGATACAGATGCAATGGAAGACGTGCATTCTTTACTGACAGATGTTCCACCACCTTCTGGTACAGTTCAAAATATTTATTTTTTTCTAATTTATACTACAGGTTGCAAAATGGCAAGAGAACTGGTTCTATTTAAAAAAAAACCAAAAAGTCCAAGAGTAGGAGTGAAAATACTCCTGAAACGTTTAGCTTGTCAGATATACCTCTGAAAAACAAGTCATTAAGCCTTTTATGGGGATTGCTGCTTATTGAAAATGATTAAACACAGTATTTGTGTGATATTTTGTAGTTCACAGATTTGTACTGTGGTTGCCAATTTGTTGCTTTCTTATGTGTGTAACAGTTGGACCTTTTCTCCTAGTATATACCAGACTGAATGTCTAACTTGTGGGTTTCAGGGTCGATTAGAGTAGAAGTACAGAGAACAGGGTGGTCTTTTGAGTATTTGTAGCCATGTAATGTGACATATCGATGTATTCCACAGATGTTATTTAAAACGGGCAATTTGCCCTTCCAGCACTCTTGTTCCACAGCTGCACTTCTATTTCCCTTGCTTTGTGATTGTGCCATGCTGTTAATTTGTGTTCACTGCATTTGTGGTCTTTGCTGTTAAAAACAAGCAATGTCCAAAATGTGTGTGACTTAAGAATTCCAAATCAACATTTTTATCCAAGTCAGCACCGGTCATTTGCTGTAGAATGCAGTAAAGTCATGTAATAGAAATGGAGTAGTTTCTGATTTCTTCAGTGTTTTTTACAGATATATTTTTTAAAAGTTTAGCAACTTGAGAACATTACTCATCAAAGTGAGTAATTTTAAAAATGCAATTCTGATACTTGAAATCAGTGTCTTTTTACTTCCTGGTACAAATATGAACATTGAGGCTGCGTTTCTGGCAGTAGGACTTTGGGAGGTGTCCATTTAGTTGTCTGTGTTTAAAAATTATGTAAGAACCCAACATGGGAGAGATTTGCTGGATCATTCAAGTTCTGCTTGCTGATGGGGATCAGGCAAGAATGTGTATTTCATGAATGTAAGGGTGAGGCGGGAAACATCTCCCAGATTAGCATGCTAATGCATGCAGTTTATAGTTCGGTAGCATCCTGAAAGAAAGTTGCTGTCTTTGTAACCAGTAGCCTTTGACAAACTTTTCTGTGCATTTGGCTCTTTGCACCTTGAGCCCGTGGGCACCTTCGGCGTTCACAGAATTTTGCATCAGGATCTGTATCTGTGCAAGTGCCAGCTTCTTAGGCTTGGTTTGTATCATCTGCTTTTTCTTTTGTCTCATGTTGGGAAGAACACTGAGTCATTGCTTTGTATCAGTCATCGTCTTGCTATTTGTGGTTTTAGAGATCTCTGTCATGTCCTCCTTGGTGGAACTCCTGCCTCTGGCTAAGAGGCTGACATAATGGTCCATTATATGGAAGTTGCTCTACACATTTGCTTGTCCTTGTTCTCCCTCTCTTATCTTTGGAAGTTTCCCCGTGTGTCTTCTGAGCACGTATCTGTTCCTGTTCTAGTAATTGCTATCAGTGTTTATGATTTTGAGTATTGAGCTCAGCACTATCAGTGTCATAGTTCTCTGTTATTACCACCAAATCTTTTATTCCTCATCAATTATCCATTGTGAGGTCCTGCTGCAGTTGATTTTACCTACCCTAAACCAAGGCCATCAGCAGTCACCTCTTTTGTAGATAAGTTATGTTTGAAGCATATAGTGACATAGTTGTAAGTTAGAATATAATATATGTTAGTCAGCTATTTCAACTTTTGCCTTTCTGGTTTATATAAATCCTTATTTTTCGTTTGCCCGTTTGTTCAATATCTCCTTTTGACTTGTCTAAGATGGGTTCTCTGATGGAAAGTAAATGAGTGGTTTTCCGTTACTGTGGAAAACTACTACCGTGGTGATCACTGATGAAAGAAAAAAAAGGAAAATAAAGCATTGTGTTATCATCTCTGCATATTCTATTTTTGACTCTTCAAAAAGATTTCTGCTTTTGATGTTCTGAAAGAAAATATGTTAATATTTACACCTGCTGCAAGCTGCTAAACGCTTTCTTTTCCAGCTTATTTTGTGCATTTACATAGGCCCTACCAGATTTTGTACTCATTTGGCTGTATCTTTAGATTTTCAACATTGCCTGATTGCTGTTCATAACTTTTCTTACCATGTTGTTTAGTCAGTATACACTTTTTCTTCTTTTCTTTTTGTCTTTTTGAGTCTTTTTAAGTGCTGTGTATTTGCACTCTTTAAGTAGTATTTCTAGGTAGTATCTTTAAAGCATCTCTATGCTGCCTGTCGAAGGTTAGGTTTTTAGCTTCTGCTGTCACAACTTTTTAATATGTTTCCTCATTTGTATGTAGTTTTTCAATGAGAAACTAAGCAGAGCAGTAGTGGCTTTTGGGTGTTTGCCCTTCCTACAAGAATGCCTAGGTACATCTTGATCAGAGCTAAACATCTTTGAAGGCTTTTCCCTGCTCAGGGTGAACTAGGGAGGGGAGTTTTGAGGTCTGTGGGTTCCGCAAGGAGCAGCGAGCGGTTCCATGGAGAGGTTGGGGAGCTTGTCTCCCCGGTTGGTGTTAGCGTCAGATGCCGTGAGTTACCTGGTCTCCATAAGGAGCAGCTGTCACTGCTGCGTTTCATGCCGATGTAGCCTTGGTCATATTCCTCAACACGATGACATTTCTGGCTTTGTTTTTTGGCGGTTGAAGGAATGCTTAGAATAAGAATTCTGTAGCAAAGTAGCTTTTTAGAAATGGGGAGTTGCGTCTTTCTGATCCATTTTTTTGCTGCAGTGTAACAGTGTGTGTTTCCTTTGTATCTTACGTTGTATACTTCAAGTGCTCTGTTTTCTTTTTGATTGTTGGTCTTATTTCTGATGTATTATTCAGTATTCAGAAGCATGTACTTACAAAGTATCAAGTAACATCATGCATTGTTTGTTTAAAAGTATTTTTATGTTTCAATGTGCAACACAGATTTCCCCAAATACTACTTTCTTTACAGGTTTTTACAGCTGCAACACAGAAATTATGCCTGGTATTAATAACTGGACACCAGAAATTCAAGTAAGGTTCTTCAGAGAAAATTAAGACTTTTTTTCCCAAATTGTGTTGAAATATGCTGTAGTAATTTAAATATATACTAGAGATCACTAATTTTAGAAGATAAAAGTAGTACTTCAGTAGGGAAAACAGGTTATGAGATCCTGTTCCTTTGTGGGTTTTTTCAATGCTGTTATGTAATAGAGAACCTGGTACAAAAATAAAAGGAAATAATTAAAGAAAATATCAACTTTAAGGTTTGGGACAATTTTAAGAGCTTGGCTAGATTTTGAAGCCTCTTAAAAGAAATAAACTGTTGATTATGTTACTTCCTGTGAGATACTGAATATAATAACATTATTGGGTTAAGATAATGAAGAATTAGATAAAGCCAATCCAGTGAGTAAAAAAAAAAATCCATTTATCGTTCAATAAAAGCATTTTGATCATGTTTGTACAACACAATTGAGAGAGAGAGAGAGAGTTTAAACTGAGCTATTTAAGGAAGCTTTTATACCTAATTGGCACAGGATGAGACTGTTTTGCAGAGGCACATCTCAAACCTGGAAAAAATAAGAGTGTGCCAGCAGCGTGCTCTCGAGTCAATGGAATTGCCTCCGTATCTGTGTATGACGTTCCATTATTGCTTAAGTTATTGTACACAATTAACATAGAATTCTCAGCAGCAGTTAACAAAATATGTAGCAGATTGAATGACTCCCTTATGAAGCAAGTAAAATTTCAGTAAGCACTTGCTTTCACTTACTGTTCTTACAGTTTCTTCCTTTTCTTTCCATCCTTCTCCCTCCCTCTCCTTTTCCCTCCCCCCTGCCATTACCGTGTTATGCATTATTTGCTTGCTTTATGATTTTGTTTTGGTTTTAATATAACATACAGGCGTATATTGGAAAAAAAAATAACTGTTGTTTGTTTCTAATTCAGATGTTCACAGCAGTAAGAGTATCCAGATTAAGTAACATTAACTTAACAAATCAAACACTTAATAAGAACTTTAATGATCTCTGTGAGAATCTGTTGAAGGTAAGACTCTTATTTCAAATATTTTTTGAATTATTGAAATGGAAACGAAGTAAAATCAGGCTATACTGAAAATGTATTTTCTTCATAATTACTTTTCAGAATTAGATTGCAGTGTCTCTTAATTAGTTTGTAAGCCGCTCTGTAGATGGATTCAGCCCTCTTAGTATATTAAGAATTCCCAAAGCTTTTGGAATCTGAATGAGTCCTTTGGCTGTAGTGTACTCTAGAAACAAAAGTATAAGGACAGATTGCATTCTATACTGACTTTTCACACCTATAATTCTTCCTCAAGAAGAAAAAATTGTATGATTGTATGATTTCTACTATGAAAAGAGACTTGATGTTTAATTTCTCTGAAACAAACCGTACATTTTGTAGAGTAACGTGAATAATATCTTGTCTTCAACAGAGCTTGTATTTTAAATTACGATCTATGGTTCCCTGCTGCCTTTGTCATGTAAATTTTACAGTTGCTCTACCAGAGGATGAATTAGTTCAGGTAAGTAAACTGATTCTTTTGACTTGCATTCAGCATGTGGGCATGCCTGGCTTGGCCTTAAATTAACATTTACTGCTAAGAGTAGGCTTTGATTTACTAGTATGTCTGGTGAATTACAAAGCAAATATTCAGGGCATAATCTTTGTGAAGAGAAGACCTGTCGAGTTCACCAGTTTTGAAAATCATGAGGCTAAATGGCATTTCATGAGCACAGTGCATCTGAACAGTGTGTGTATCTTCTTAGATAGGAAACAAAAGCCCTGACTAGATATCCAGGTGTTACCACATAAACCACAAGAATACAGCATGGTCGTTTTCTCACTGTGCTGTCATTGTAATTGTCTGATTTTTTTTCTTGCCATTTCAAGATGATGTGATACTCTACATTATTTTCAAGAAAATGTTTTCTTTAGAAGCATAGCATCATCCTTGTGCTCAATTAAACATCTCACTCACAAATAAAATGATAATGAGGTGTTACAATTCTTTTTTATGTCAGTTCAAGAAAGAAGGCAGAAACTGACAAACAAAATCATAAACATGGGGCAAACGCTGTCAGGTGTACATTCTGACAGTGGACCTTAATATTACCTTTTGATGCTCTGCTGTGAAGGGTTTTTAATATGCCTACTTAGATGATTTCCCCCCACCCATTTTTCTTTGGAAAAGCTGTCTTGTTTGCAAAATGAATTCTGCAGATTGCACAAGAGATTAATTTACCTAATATGCCATATATTTCTGATTTGCAGATTGCAGTCACAGCTGTTGCAATTACATTTGACAAAAACCAAGCGTTACAAACCAACAAAGCCCCTACAGAAAAATCACAGCAAAGAGGTAAATGTTGCGAGACACGTAAAGATAAGAGTTAATATTTTCCTTTTTCTTTCCCACAGTACCTTATGAGTCTACATTTTAATTTTTTATGTATACACATTTTCACAGGGAGGTTCTGTAAAATTGTGAAGTCCTAACATAGAGATTTTTGAGGTTGATATATGGGACCTCGAGCAGGATGACTTAAAAGTATTAAGTACTCGCTTTATGTAATCAACAAACTTACAGTAATACAAAAAAGTTGGGTATTTCCTTATTCCGTGTACCAGCTTTCTTTGAATATTTTTCTCTAAAGAATTGTGTGACAGATGATGACATTTCCATTGTATTTTGAACCGTGTGATGTAAGTCGTTAAAGAATACTTGTTCTTACTAGTAGCAAATTTTCTCCTTATTCAAGAAGGCAAAAAAAAAATTTTTCATTATACTTACAGAAAACTTCTGAAAACCCTTAAGTAGGTCAGTAATATTTTTGAAGATCAGTAAAACATGTAGCATTATGGAGGAACTAGAAGAGTCAGCTGCAGTCTGCGCATGTCGTCTTGCTAATGAAGCACCATTTTATGCTAGAAATAGATGGATGCAACCTGGATATGGAAATTTAGACAGAACTGTGAAGATACTCCATTCTGAAGACTGGGGTTAGGGAGCAGAACTGAACCGTATGTCTCTAAAGTGATAGTTATACCCTCTTCAATAGTAACAATAAATTGTTTCATGTGAAACAAATAAAAAATAATATGTTAGTTTTTGCTGTAATGTGTAGCTAACTCAGATCTAAATGCAGAATCAGATCTAAAATGGATGAATTATCGTAATATTTTTTCCTGAAAATTAAATCTTCTTCGTTGGAATGCAGGTTCTGATCAGTTTTGCTGCTGAGTTTATTGCCAGACACGTAAATCTTCATACTGCTCTTCGTCACTATATGCATGTGCTGAAAATAACCGTTCCAGTCAGACCTGACTAAATTGAATCTGTAGTGCTTATCGCTACTAGTGAATCATATTTTGGGGGTTTGTTGTCAACTGGGTATGTTTTCTTTGTTGAAGCATCTACAGACAATGAAGAACAGCTGCAATTTCCACTGGAACTTTGCTCTGACCCTCTTGCTTCTCAACCATTCTCACCAGCTAAAGGTCAGTTCAATAGAAGAACGCTGAACTGTGGTTTTTTGATTGATTTTGAGTTCTGCTCTTTAATTGTTGCAGTAGCTTTAAAATACATGTCTATTACATACTTTAAATATTTGTTGCTACCTTAGCATCATGGATAGGTTCACTCCTAAAGTCAAATTTTTTAAAAGTCACAGAAGATGGGTTTGCTAATTGTTCTGTGTATATTCCTCCGTAGATTTCCTGCAGTTCTTCTATCTTTGCATTTAGAGTATTGAAAATGTTGCAAACCACTGGGTGTTGCATGTCATTTGAGTTAAAGAATTATAAATTACTTAATAACTAGGCTTGCTTCATCCTGCTTTGCTTCTGTAAGGACCCATGTGAAATAACTCCCGAGTATTGTGAGCCTCAATGGTGGGAAATACTTTATCTATCAAATACTGGTTGTTCAGCTGAGCAAAATTGCATGCATTTTTTTTTAAATGACAGGAACCTAAACCTACATAATGAACAATTTGTACAATGTGGCACGTTTTAGCTGTTAAACAGCTGTTTTATTTTACCTGAGCTGAAGCTGCATTTCAAGAATGGTTGCCACAATTCTTCTATGACTGTATTAAAAGTTAGGTCAACATTCACTGAAATCAGCTGTCTTTACTTCCCTCTACACTGTTGGATTATTTACCCAGGAAAATACCTAATGATAGGAAATTTAGTATCTGTGAGTTCTTGTAAATGTGCTTTTACTAAAATATAGAACTCTGTTTTTTGCCCATTACGTAAGTTGCGTGAAGGAGGATGCCTACCAGATTTACTTGTATTTTCAGATAGCAATTTAATTTCAGCAATAACATTCCTATTGTTTGGGGGGTTTAAAAATATTTTAATGCATTTGCGTGTGCTTAAACTTTTGGTGGTCACATTATGATACTATTAACCTTTGATTTTCAAGAAGAGGGGTTGCTATCCCAAAATTTATGACTGTTGCCTTTTTCACTTACGGGGCTGTGCTACTTGTATAATGACCAGTAGAGGGTAGCCTGTTCACGTGTATCACTTTTTCTGACGTTCTTCACATTCCCTACTGTACTGTACATCGCTTCAGAGGCTTTAAGCTAGATAATTATTTCATCTTGTCATTTCTTCACAATTAGGCTCAAGGTTTCATTGTAGTTACATTTACTTAGCAGCATGTTTAATGTATTGATACGTTTTTTAATGTACTTTTTGTTATTTTAAAAACCCTGGTACGGTAATGAGCTTTAATAAATGATCATATTACAATTTGCAAGACCAATTTAGTAAAGTTAATTACTTATACTGTTATGTACTATTGAAGTACATAGAACAATATGTATAGATTTTTTTTCTTTCATGTTACTCCAAAAATTTTTTTCTACCAAGCAAGCTATTGTCCTGTACTGCATGGCTCTGGTCATGTATTTTCTGAATGGAATTAATTTTGTCTTGCTAGAAGTCCTGGAGGGTGCAAGTTCCCACACAGGTATTCCTGCTACTCAGAGAGGTGAGTTTGCTTAATTTAGCCATATGCCAGAACAGAATGAGCATTCTTGGGATATTGGTATACTCTTTTTGGATGTGTCTCAATCCAGGAAGTGTTTACTAGTTAACTGAGAATGCATGCTCTGGTGTGGCTTAATGATACCGTATTTTGATGTGGTTTTTAATTACAGAAATAAGATTTGTTAATAATAATAGTGTCTCTCTGTCAGATATATTGATATAACTATCTGACAGAAAATTAGTTCCCCGAGAGAGAGCTTTTTTGCTTGTCTTAATTTGAAGTTAGCATGTGTTCCTCTCGTTTCTTCAGAATAATGAAGAAACGCCGTTTGCAAAACTTTTTTTTTTTGAGATACGCAAACACCCCTGCAACTAATACCTAAAGTCATAGCAGAAACAACTCTACTTGTCGTTGTATTGATAATGGAGGGGGTGTTGAAGGGGGGACTTTGGGGAAAAGAAGACAATGTTTTGTAAGGAAAGTGCATTTGTGTTTAAAACCAAGGTGTTGTTTCAGCTTCTGACTCTTATCCTCATCACCAAAACTTTTTTTCAGGCTGTAAGTTAGATAAAGATAGGAAGTTTAAATCATGATCAGCAGCTCTTCATGAGGAAAAGGATAGCAATGAAAATCAAAATTAAACAAGGCTTAAATAAACTTAAAGAAGCCAGAATTTCATAGCTAAAATGAGGTTTTAAAAACAAATAATCTAGCCTGAGTCATTAATGACTGTATTTGCATGTTTTTTCAGTGATGAAGTCCCAGTCAGGCAGTTGGTTCACAGCTGGGACATCACCAGAAATCGGTACACTGGTTTGGACAAGTCCAAACTGATACTGTAGCTTTTCCTTGAAGCAGACCTGGAAAGGGATGTTTGTTCTCTCTCAGACACAGATAATTGCTTCCTCAAACGGAGCACTGAGATGATGAGCGAGAGACATCATCCATATTTTTTTCCTTTGTTTTTTCTTTTGTTTTTCTGTCTGTGTTTTCAGCAACGTCAATTGATTACAGTTCCTTTGCAGACAGATGCAACAGCTGGATAGAGCTCATTAAACTGAAAGCTCAGACCATAAGGCGCGGATCAATTAAGACAAGTAGGCGGCTGTTTCTACCACGTTATGATAATCTGAGACATATCTCTGATTTCCCAGTGGTGAATAGTGGAGGTTCCTGCCCAGCAATAGTGTCGTAGATTACATATCGAATGAATACCTGAGTGTGAAAACTGCTGACGTTGTTAATGTGTTTGTAAAAGCTAATGCAGGGTTTATGAACCAGTATTGTAAAAAAGCAAAGTATAGTATTTCTGTTCACGTAGTAAAAATTAGTTTACCGATAAATGTGTACGCCTACTAATTATATAACATACACTGCATGGATGTAGGTGTATGTATGGTCTTGGAAAATTTTTGGTGAGAAGCAGGAAGCAATCACCAAGGTGACAGTCACTAAATTAGCAAGTGGTGAGTTATTTTTCAGTAGTTCTTTGGCCACAGGTCTGACTACCTTGCTTAAATTAGCAGAGATTAATATCTGTTTTAATGGAAAATGCTGCACTGGGGAAACACGACAACTTTCACACTTCCTGTAATTTGTTCCTCCAGCAGAATACGTATTTCCAAACGTTGGCACTTTTTTTCCTTTACCTTCACTTTATAACTGATTGTTGTATGTGCAGCTACTCGTCTCGATGTTTTCCTTTTTTTTTCCAAATAAATTCCATTTCAGCTTTTTGTCTCCTTTTGCATGCGTTGCATGATAATTTCCTTTCTCACATGATATGGCTGAGCATCACAGGCAGATGAATGTTGTCACCAAGCTATTTGGAAACCATAAAGAAGAATTTTTGTGTTTTTGAGAAACAGTAATTGATCCCACTCGATAGTTACTTTCTCTTCTTTTTCCCCCGTCTTTTTAGCTGCTTCACTTGATAAAGCAAGTCCATTGGCTGAGGGATACTTACGGCACCGTTCTGTTCCGTCGTGCACCAATTCTACCGTCTCAGTTGTTAAGATGACACCTCTTTCTTTTCTACCTGGGGCAAAAATAACCAAGTATCTTGGGATAATCAACATGTTTTTTATACGAGAAACCACTTCTTTGCGTGAGGTGAGCTGTATATCAGGGATTAACACTTGTTTATAATAACCAAAGGCAAATGCCTGAAGAAGTTTGAGTTGAGGAATAACGCAGCAAGGGAATAGACTTATTGTCACTTCAGGGTAGGTGCTGAGTGAGGAGTAAATCTCATTGCACTGCTCTTGCTATAGAGCCCATAGAGCTACTTTCTGTGAAGCAATATTAGGAAGGGGTTAATTAACCATTGCCTTTGGTGTTGAATTTGGATATGGTACTAAACCAAGGAGTTTTTAAACAGAAATATATGAAAAAAAAATGGATCTTTGGTCAAGTGTGATGGCTGGGATTATTTGAACCGCCAACTGAGATTAATTTGAATGCTAAAAAAAATTATACTCTTCTGTCATTTAGCAATCCCAGTGATGAACGTTCATAGTGTATTTGGATTTTAGAATTCTTTGGTTAATACAAGGTTTCCCGTATCACATATAACTACTATGCAGATTTTTAGTACTATGTTCTGTGCATTCTTGGTGTCATAATTCTGTGTGATGAACATCTGAAAGGCATGCTGTGGAGCATATAACCACAGAACGAGCTTAGAGGGTCTAGCTAGTGACACTCAAACATTATGATCTCTAGTCTGGATGTGGGCAACAGATAGTCCTCTGAGCATCCCAAAATGCAAGACATTTTCCTCATCATTTTTGTGTCCTTTTGGGAAGTAGCTGCATCTTTCTGCTACTGTTTCCCTTCACAGAAATGGATTGTGCCTCAATCTGTTTTGTCAGTGCTGAAGAGTACGCTGTTTCTTCTTAATTATACATTGATAAAATTACAGAGCAGATGTTAATAAAGATGATCAGCCTTCATAAAATGAGTTGCGAGCTCTCTAGAGAAACTTTGATCAAATGGGCACCTTGATTGGGTCTTCCAAGTTATGGCTGCTTCTAACTTGAGAAGTCTCTGTGAAAAGGAAGTTATTTTTGAAAGGATGTGTATGGTATGACCAGAGCAATGGTTACATGTCGTTTCTGTACTAACTGCAGTTGCTCTAGATACAAATTCAATAGCTGATAAGTGAGCTTTGGTAACTGTGGTAGCCTCCCTCTGCTGAGATCTGCTCAAGTTTTTCATTCAACTCTGTATGAAGCTCGGACAGTCGTACAGTTTGTGCAATACTGTCAATGTGCTATTTTCAGCACCTGGAGCAGCTAATTTAAATCTTATTTCAGCTGCACAGGCTGAGTCACAAACCATTTTTAATAGAATCATATGATTCTGTGATTCTTCTGCTAGTTGCACAGTATTGCCCTGAGGCTGTAACCGGGTCACAACAGAGTGGTCATTATATCCAGCTTGAGCAATGTGTTTCAAATTCTACAGAAAAAGAATTAGTGGCAAATATTTGATACCTGTTGTCATTAAATTTTGTATTACCTTTATAATACTACATGTTTATTTTTTCCCTCAATCTAGTATAACACTTGGACAAAGTGAAAATCTCATGAGGAATGACATACTTGTATTGAAATTTTGATTTCTGGCTACAGTTGCTTTATGCTTGAATTAGTGAAGTTATACTTGCCCTTTTGTTAGTTTTCATCCAAGATATGTTTTCTTATGTCTTTATGAGTCTGCTCAGTGTAGATTATACTTCTTCCAGTAGATAAGAGGGCAGCCTCTATTTGTTGAAGTTCAGCTTACCTAAACTCCTCTTCTTCCTGTCTCTTTTTCTCCAGTGGCACACGCATACATGTGGGAAGTCTAGTGGTCTTGTCTTTCACATTCACTTTGAAATTTTTAACCGATAGTGAGCTCTGTTTTGTCAGTTTCCTACCTCATTTTTTTTTCTGTGGATTTTTATTTTTCTGGTTGGTTGCCTGGTTTTTGTGTGCTGTATTTTTCTCTGCAGTGTCATTGCTCACATTCTTTCATAAGTTTTATCTAGAAAAAGCACACAATACTTCATTGTTTTCCTTGTCTTCCTTTCACAGCAATTAAAATTACTCAGGTAGGCACTAAAGAAGTAAAAATCCCCCACAAGCACCATCAAGTCAAAAAATTTAACTAAACGGGATAACTAGAAGTTCTTCTGGGCTTCAGGAGGGGAAAAGAAAAAGTTTTCATAGTTTGCTTGTCAAGTCTCTGCTCTGTCCTTTGCTTACTTTTGTATTTTGAGGGATTTCTTTAGTGAATGTTGAGAACTAATGACAGCATACCTGAAGTTGCAGTGACCAAAGGTAACAGCCACTCCTTAGCAGTAAGTTCTGAGAAGTCTTAACTCTCTTCTAATCATCAGTAGAAATTATTTTTCCCAGTTTGGAGCAGGGTCCTTTTTGATGAAAGAGAATTTGTTATTCAGCTGTCACTGGGATATTAAGTGTTTGTGCAGAGGCGTAGGAGCGTCTGAAAAGCATTGAGTATATGTAATATACTCACTGCAAAGAATACCGCTCACAAATGAATAACTACTTGTTTCTTTTCCTCAGACAGCAAGTTCCATTGGCCTGATTTTTAACCATGACCCATTAAACAGTGAATAGCTTTTCAGTTCTGTACAATATAGCATTTAGGATTCACTGAATATTCAGCTGATAAAAATGTAAAAAAAGTATTCATCATCTTGTAGCTATACCTATTATAAAATGTGCTTTTCTTTCATTTTAGGAGGGTGGTGTCAGTGGTTTTCTTCATGCTTTTGTAGCTGAAGTGTTTGCAATGGTGAGAGCTCATGTCGCAGCTTTAGGGGGGAATGCAGTTGTCTCATACATAATGAAGCAGTGTGTTTTCATGGAGAATCCAAACAAAAATCAGGTAGGTTATGATACAAAATAACAGTGCTGTTGTGATTAGTATGGCTTAAAATAACACATTTTATATATTTAAAAAATGGCAACCCTGTAGAACTATATCTGTATAACACTTCTGGATCTCTCATCATGGTTGTTTAAAGAAGCCAACAATGTTCTCGAACACCTGAGTCAACACAGATTTATGAGTCTATTTCCTAAATACCTGAATGAGTAAAAATACTAAGTTATTAGAACGAAGTAAACGTCAGGAAACAGCCAAACAGTACTGCTGAACTTAGCTTTTCTGGTATTTTTGTTCTAACCTCACATAAAAATAGCTGGGGTTGCTGATAGAAAATGCTTCATTTTAGACTTAAAGGGACAAAACTTTATTAGTGAAGACAACAGCATATGGTTGTTTTGGTACATGAAATATGTTCAAAACAATAGTGAAAGCAAGTACAGCTGCTTGGATACTTAATTTGTGGTGGTCTACATGTTTGGTAGCACACAGTGAGTGGATATAAAAGCAAATGTGGCAGGGATTACCTCGCTAATAAGTTCTAATAATTTGTCCTTCTGAACTTGGTTTTCTTTTATCTGTGTAGTTATATCTAACCAGATACAAGTAAGGAAAATCTGTTATTATTTTATGCTTGGTAACTGTGTATTGTCTGTTGTGGGGTTTTTTTTTCAGGCTCAGTGTTTAATAAATGTCAGTGGTGACGCAGTCATCTTTGTGCGGGAATCCGAGTTAGAGATGATACCAGTGCAACCATCTACAGTTGCTTCACAACCCACAAGCTCTGGAGGAGATGTGACAACATGAAGTCAGAAGAAGTGAAATAGTCTCTGCCAAATATAAAGATTATTTAAAAAGTGGGAATGTTTAGGTTTGCATCTTCGAAATCAGTAACTCCCCGTCACATTAATAGCCAAAATCCAAGACAATCACTGTACTTTGTCCTTTATGTAATAGTCAGGGTAGCGCATTGGCAGGTATACTCTGATTATTTCATTACAGTTACAGGCCCCTGTGAACTGGAGAGGCAGTAGGTGAAGCACTGAGAGTATGGGTTAAAATAGTAGATACCACATGGAACTGTGAAAGTAAATGAAAACACTGTTGCATTTTTCCTCTGTTCAACAGGACCGGGCTAAGTTGTAGTTCAGAACCATTGCTGAGTTTGCATGTTGTATTAGCTGACTCTCAGCTCGATTTAAAAAATAGAAGAGGGGTCAGGATGGGTGGGAGATAACTTTGTCGAGGGAACAAGAGATATGTGCACAGCCTAAGAAAACAGGAGCTGAAGTCTGAGCTTATCTTAGGTCTTAGAGAGTGAAGGGGAAGAAGCAGCACTAAGAAGCCCGTTTGAATTTCTGCAGACTAAAAATATTTTTCAACTGTTTATGAACTGCTGATTTATTTTTTTAAGAAAATTATTACTATACGGCATATGTTCTGGGTGGGTGTTTCAGGGTGTTTTTGTTGTGTATTTTTGTTCTTTTTTTTAAAAGGTGCGAGACCATGATGCTGTGTTCCTAGTCATCCCTATGGTTAAAAAAACCCCAAGAAGTTCCAAAGTGCAGTTGGTGCTATTACAAGAGGTTCACTGCAATATGGACAATTTTTCTTTTTTAATATAGGCTTCTGTGAACAGATTGTCCTGAGGCTCATTTTCTTCAGGCATGATCTCTTTCAAGGATAGCATAAACAGTCTTCCAAAAGTCAGTTATACAGAGGTAGATACTCCAGCCTTGTTTCCATTTAACGAGTTGAAAATGCCTAGTTGATTGAAGAGTGATGTATGCTTGTGATGTGGATTTCTGCAAGTTGGTTTTGTTTGCTTGGGTTTGTTTGAGGTTTTCTTGTTTGTTTGTTTGTTTGTTTGTTTTTCCCAGTACAGTAGCTGGGAAATGAGGGTACTGAAAAGAAAGGAAATGTGTCATTTCCAGTAAATGTCTGAAAAGCTCTGATATTTTAATATAAAAAAAAACAACATGCAAACTTTGATTTGAAGATGCATTCTTACTTAATTCTGACAATACAATATGTGGAACTTGAACAAATGTGTAAACTTGAATGTAAATATTCTGCTTAGTATTGAAATTAAGCAATGGCATGATTATTTGTTAAAACTAATTATTTCATTGTAAATGAGCATGAAAATCATTCTTGCACAATAAATTTCTTTATAAAATCTGTTGCCTTTTTATATGTGTAATAGTTAAATGTGTATGCTGGATACATATTTAATATGTCCCACCCCTATTCTCAGAGGAACATTCTTTTTATAGAATGTTACAACCTGATTATTTAAAATTTGGAGAGTTAATAAAGGTAATTCATTATAAGGTAATTAGGTGCTTACCAGTACACTTTACTCATACACTTAATTGTCTTTCTAAATTCTGTAGCTGTTGCAACCAAAGCTGCCATAAATTAAGTCACCTGTAAATAGTTGCAGCTCTCTTGATGATTTTGCAAGGCAAATTTGTTCCCTTTGAAGCCTATGGTGGAATATTACTAACCTCATAGGCTCTTGGATCTAGCACAAAGAAGTTGCTTTCAGCACGGAAATATCCTCTGAAGTAGTACAGTTAAGTAGCTGTTCCTGATTTTTGGGGAGTTTTTGTTTTGAGGTTTTTTTTAGTAGCTTCTATGGAAGTATTAGTTGCATTTTGAGCTGTTTAAAAGGTCAGAATTTCTTGTCGTGTGTTTCATTAGGCATGGAAGAGAAGCTTTCACTTAGAAATGACAAACATGTTTTTTAGCTGTTCCTAACTGGGGTTTAGCATTTCTTAATTGGTTTAGATGGATAAATTTAACCTGTTGGAAGTTACATGCTTAGGTTGCTTTGTGATTTTTCTTCTTTCCAGTGTGAAAAAAGGGGGGAGGGGGGGAGGGGAGTATATGTAAGTATGTGCAAATCCATTGTCATTTGGAACATCAGATCTCGTGTTTCTCAGAGGCAAAAAAAGGATTATATAAGCATAAGAGAAACTTCAGGGAATTAGTGCAATATGTAATAAAGGAAAACTGAAGCACGAGTTAAAAGTTAAGTCATTAGTGCACAAAACACCTTTAAGGAGCTGTGTGTGTACAACTCAAGTTGATTTATTATGTTCCTTGCTGAGGTCAGAATGGCTGAAAATCGCACAAAGGTACCTTGTTAGTTACTGACTTTTTTTTGCCTTTAATCATGAAATAACAATATACAGTTTTGATTGTGGGAGAATCATCGAAGTTTCTGCTGAAATGAGAACAGTTAATGCAAGATACCCTAATGGGACTTCAGATGCGGGGAGACAAGTGATACCACTTTAGATACTTGTGATATAAAGAAACATTGCTTTGCCAGGAATTTAATCTGAGAACAGCTGTTTGGGGGTAGGAGCTGATGCAACTTGCTTGTAATGGTTTTGGCTGGGAGGGAGTTAATTTTCTTCATAGCAGGAGGATTTGTGACCAAAGCAAGGCTGTTCTCGCAGGGTGCTTTAACAAAGGCAGTCCTCGGTGTCGGTACAGGCTGGAGGTTGATGTGATCGAGAGCACCTCTTGGGGGTGCTGGTGGATAGAAGCTGGACATGAGCCATGTCTATGAGCTGCCTACTTGCAGCCCAGAAGACCCATCACATCCTGGGCTGCATCAAAAGCAGCGTGGCCAGCAGATCGAGAGAGGTGATCCTGCTGCTCTGATCTGCTCTGGTGAGACCTCACCTGGAGTGCTGCGTCCCGCTCTGGGGCCCCCAACACAAGAAGGATGTGAATCTGTTGGATTGGGTCCAGAGGAAGGACGCAGAAAGGCTCAGAGGAACGGAACACCTCTCCTGTGAAGACAGACTTGAGAGTTTGAGCTGTTCAGCCTGGAGAAGGCTCTGGGGTGACCTTATAGTGGGCTGTCAGTACCTGAAGGGGGCTACAGGAAGGGTGGGGAGGGGCTGTTCACAAGGGTGTATAGTAACAGGACAAGGGGCAATGTTTTTAAGCTAGAGCAGGGTAGATTTAGATGAGATGTTAGAAAAAAGTTGTTTACAATGAGGGTGGTGAAACACTGGAACAGGTTACCCAGAGTGTTGGAGGCTCCGTCCCTGGATACATTCAAGGTCAGGCTTGAGGGGGCTCTGAGCAACCTGATCCAGTTAAAGATGTCCCTCCTCACTGCAGGGGGGCTGGACTAGGTGACCTTTGAAGGTCCCTTCCAGCCCAATGCATTCACTCTATGACTGAGTGGTGCCTGCACAGAGTCAAGCCTTTCTGCTTACCTTGCTGCCCCCTCCCCAGTGAATACGCCAAGGCTGGGCGGGAAGCTGGGAGGGAAGGCAGCCAGCACAGCCAACCCAGACTGACCACAGGGATACTCCTACCAGGATACCCAGTACCATCCTGCGCTGCACCGAGCGGTAAGCCTCAGGAGGTGGTTTACCAGGGGTTTATGGTTGCTCAGGGGCCAGCACCAGTTGGCTGGTGGTGAGCAATTGTTTTGTGCATTGCTTGTTTTCCCTGTTTGTCTTTTCCCTCCTGTTAAACCATCTCAACCTGTGAGTTTTCCCACTTCCTCCCTTCTGATTCTCTGCCCCATCCTGCTGGGAGGGAAGGAGCAAGGGAGCAGCCATGTGATGTCTGGCTGCCTGCCAGGCTTAACCCACAGCCTCGCTGCATTCTCCTGATCTGAGGAATCCAAATGACAGGCTATGGTTAAAGTAGCCCTTCTCCTGCCTGCAGCCCTCAGAAGAACCACTAAGCTGAAGTTTAAAACCTTCACATCAGTATTGTGAACAAATTGGGTGGTACCACCCTTTGTTAGAAAGGAGTGGTAGCATCTGTTTTAAAAAAACCACTTCTCCAGGCACAGCTTTACTTGCAGTAGTGAAGCTACTAGGTCTGTGCCAGTCCTGCAGGTGACCGGGCAGTGTTCAGGGCCTGAACAACTGTCCCCTCCACCAGAGAACAGCAACAAACTAAGGAAGACCATCTGCAAGGGATGCTGCTGGTTGCTGATTCTTTCCACAGCTTTCTCTAACCATCGCTGCATAGTGCTTGCTTAGTCAGCTGACTCAAGCCTGAAGGCGGGCAGGAATTAACTCGGAGATGCTGGCTTCATGTTGGAGTTCTAGCCATCTTGGTGCTTGAGGGATGGATCTTCTGGAATATCATCCCACTTTTTTCTTTTTTTTTTTTTTTTCTTCTTTCAACCAGGAGGTTGTTTTCAGAGCTAGCTGAAAAGTTCTCAGCTTGCATTTTTTTCTCTTGTGAGCCTTCTGGCTTGTGAGCTCTGAGACACATGTGAAAGGTGCTAACTGAGAGCAAATGTGCCCTAGTGAACAGTGAAGTTAATTGTACCTGCAGGATGCAAGAAATATTCTGACAGGATGTAGCTGTAGTGTTGTTTCCAGCAAGAAATCTCTATTAGAGGCCTGATATAACTAGATTTAGGTTGCACGCATACCTATGGAAAATAATGCAGAGAGTACAGGCAGAATGCAAGTCAACAGCGTTATGCTGTTGAAGAGGAAAATGACACAAAGGAAGTTAGAAGGAGAAGACATCTGAAGCACTGCTGCTGCTTTGCTCACAACCCAGCTGTGCCTCATTTTGACTGCTGCTTCTGTGGGCCCCACAGAGAAGAGATCTCAGAAGTGCAGAAAACATGATCTGCAAGTACAAGAAAGATATGGACGTGCTGGAGTGTGTCCAGAGAAGGGCCACGAGGATAATGAGAGGACGGGAGCACCTCTCCTATGAAGATGGACTGAGAAAGTTGAGGTTGTTCAGTCTGCAGAGAAGGCGGCTCTGAGGAGACCTTATTGTGACCTTCCAGTATCTCA